TGAAAATTCATATCATTTGGTCCTACTACCCAGCAATGTTTGCCTACTCACAACAGCTCAGGGTTACACGTTCCAAAAAAGACGCTGCTCGAGATCAGTAAGTGTCTTGTAGTGGATCGAATACACAGAATAATGAGCAGCTTTACTGACAGCCGACCATATCGAGAGTCCTGGTGGAAGTCCTCCGGTGAGTCGATCTCGGGTCGCGTCGCCGCCAGTCCCTCTCCCGTCGCTTCTGCTCGTCGTCCCTCGGCTCGCCTCGCGCTCGCTGAAACCAAAACATCACTCGCGGTCATCAAACGATCAAGCTACAGTGTTCCCATGTTAACTCAAGTCCAATGGACTGACATCTCATCTTTTTATCCAAAAAAGCGGAACGAGGAGGACGGAATTACGGTAAGAGGACGACGTGAAAGAAACAGAGAATCAAAGGAAGTTGAATTGTAAGAAAACTTTCTAAAATAAAAATGAGAAGGTCAGTTGCTGGTTTCACAAACCACAAATATAAACGAAAGTTCGAATGCGAAAATCAAAAGGAGCCTTGGATAAGCCATGTTTAGCTAGCGAATATACTGCACTGGGTGCCATCGGAGGAACAAAGGCCTTTCCATGCGCCTCCACGTGCCCACCAAGAAACTGTGAGGCAAGTCCAGACCGTGGTCTACGCAACTTAAAAAAAACTCGCGCCGCTAAAATAAACCACAACTAAAGTAACGCAAAGCCTTGCTCGAGGAAAGATCTGTGGCTGGTTTCACAAGCCACCGGGTGTAAAACGATATCGAAAAAGTATCGCCGCAGTGGAATCAACAAATTGGCCAGATTTTGTAATGCCCACTACGGGGCAGCTGCGCGGCAAAGCAAAAAGAACAAAAACTCAACGGTCCGACGATGATCGGCGTCTGCTGCTCCACTTGCTGCTACTATTAGTAAGTGTCTTGTAGTGGATCGAATACACAGAATAATGAGCAGCTTTATTGACAGCCGACCATATCGAGAGTCCTGGTGGAAGTCCTCCGGTGAGTCGATCTCGGGTCGCGTCGCTGTCGCCTGCCGTCCAGCCGTCCGCCAGTCGCTCCTCCGTCGCTTCTGCTCGTCGTCCCTCGGCTCGCCTCGCGCTCGCTGAAACCAAAACATCACTCGCGGTCATCGAACGATCAAGCTACAGTGCATTTTAGCTTAAGTCCAATGGACTTGCAGATCTCAAAGCTCAGTTGGGGAGTCTCATCACACCCTTTAGCCCTTAATTAGCTCTTTCTGACTGCCATCTGAACTCATCCCTCAGCGGCTTCCTTCTGAGTGAGAAATACGATTTTCAAAATCACCTCGAAAATAATCAGCTGCCTATCTCAGCACAGAACAAAGAAGCTTGAGGAAACAGGGCATCTACTCTTTGCTCGGTGGTAGACATCGAGTTGCCAATGATGCTAATATAATTGAATTTCTTCTCTTCGAAATAAACTTGTCTTGAAAAAAAGTTCAAAAGTGTCACGAATTTAAGGGACAACCCCATAGACTAGCTTGGAGCTCTGATAGCTTTACAGAAAAACTCAAGTATTGGTCGAATCAAGGGAATCAGGGATCAATCGAAATGTCATGTTCTCAGTATTGAGGCATTAATGTCAAGAGATCACCAATAAATCAAGTTACTATGTAAGAGTCGAAACAATGAATAAATTCCCTAGAAGCCGGTGGATAAGTCCTCCATTTGATACGTCCGCATGACATCGCAACCGCTGCGCGCGCCTACACTTGACGGGACGCTGAATGTCAGAACCAAAATTTATATCGAAAACTTGATAAAGGATATCTCAGAAAGGATATCTCAGAAAAATAAGGCAACAAGAAAGAGTAAAGTCTGGGTAATCGAAGAGTTGATGAGGTATTGGGTAACGGAACCTTTTAGCGGACAACAGTAAGCGAAGACTTGCTGTGAAAAGAGTTATTTATCTCTGATGAACTCACAGCCGCGCCTTTACATCACTTGAGGAGTACTAAATCGAACCGAAATTATTAGGTCATCCCATTCAAAGTGGCCGCTGGTTTTTTTGAATAAAACAAAGAGGAGAATAGATAGAAAAGTGATATTTTAGCTTTAGGATGAGTAAATCCCTCCTTCACCAATGACCCGCTCCCAGTGCCCCGAGGGCCTCTGGTACCTTCGATTTTTCAACAAGTGTGGGTAAATTGCTGTTGTTCCAGCGTTTAAAACATCTTGATTCATGCCACATCTGCACATACTGCCTTGAAACATGCAGTTTTTCGAAACATGTTCAAAACAGCTGCAAACGTGAGCGCAGGTGTGACAGAACGGCAAGAGTCTACACGATCGGCTGCTGATATAATCGTTTCTAATGGCTATACTGTTCCCCGAACCCACAAAAGGGTCCACTCTGGGAGAAGGGAGGTCGCGGTTCAGTGCCGTAGGTGAGACTTTTCAAACTGATCTAGATTCGGCAGAATTGTTAGGGGTCCATACAAGGACCACACAGATGGGTTTCATTTTTGCTAAACGCTATTGGGAATGTCAAAAAAGGAATAAAAACAAATCGCTCGAAATACGCAAGTTTTATCATCTCATTCGCATCTGTTTCAGCTGTAAAGCAGAATACATAGAGTTTATAAAGTGTTTCTCAACTAGACATGAAAAAGAACATTGAATAAGTCGAAATACAAGTGCCTTACTTGGCATACAGTGAGGTACACTGCAATTTCTTTAGGGGCTTATGCAGCATCCCTTCGCGCTCGCAGTGGCCTTTTAGCGCCACGCTGGCCCCAGATCACGTCGGCGCCATAAATAATTGTCAGAATCGTGATCAGGGCCATTGATTACCCCTGTTTGAAGAGGTTTCAGCGAAAAATTTTTTTTCGAGTTTCTTTAGTGGTCATGGACCTGACCCCTTGGATGGCAGTGAGCAGGCAACTCTCCGTTAGTATTGCGCCTCTGGCTAGACTAACCGCCAGAAATTTTTCATTTCTTGCCCCTTCAACTTCAGTAGGTCTTCATAGAACATCTTGCTAGCTTCGGAGCCACTAAACGAGCATCCTGGATCTTTCTTCACTTTTACCGTCTATGCTTTCGAGAAAGAACTCGTTACCACTTGCCCGAAGAAAGGTTTTTGTTTCTCATATCAAAGGTATGAGAGGAGTGCAGTGTATGTGCGTCACTTTTTTGTGTAGTTTTTAATTCTGCGTCTGCATACTAGCAAATGAAAAGCTTCCTCTTAACGATGTTGGATAACGACTCCTTTGGGGGGGAGGGCCTGATAGCCACTAGCTGGAGACATGGCCGGCAACATAACACAAAATGCTCGGGAAAATTTTTCTCGGCGTCACCTTATAGGTAAAAGGAGTAAATTTTGGAAAATGGTTCCGCCCTGGATCACAAGTTCAGATACGTATTTTTGCCGGCGAGGGCCAATTGATGGTGCCAGTACGGCACTCGAGAAGCCGCTGCGCAGATTGACAATGACGATAGTACGAGAAAGCCTTTGCACCAAATTGGCGACACATTGCGCCATATTCAAAAATGAGTGTCATGTTCATGATCAGAGCATCCGGATAGCCGCCGTCACCCAAGTTTCATGAAGAGTTTTTCGATAGTATTTCGCGAGCGTAATAATTGAGTGAGGCCTATTTGTGAACCGTTCCCGCATGGAATGTGCCTTCAAATGGCGTATATCCGGGTCATACACATTATGGGGCATACAGGAATACAAGAAGCAAGAAATGTGAAAAATGCAAAAGAGTGTGTCGGCAAGGGGACTCCTGATCCATAAACGCCACTGACCCGAGAGCCGTGCGCCGAAACTACCCACTACACCATCCGCCACTGCGACACCAGAGATACAGGACCTGTTGAAGAGATATGCGCAGATGACCGGAAAACTCCAATGCAGCTCACCGCATGCCAAGTAGGACCATTTTGGATTTGACGCGTTATTTGCTCTGTTTTTTCATGCCTGCTCAAGGATACCCTACATACTATACCCTGTCAACGCTACAGCTAGAACAGAGGCGAATAAGGTGGTTTAAAAAGCCCATTCTTTTCGAATTGTTTTTGACCTTTTTTGACATTCCCAGAACCGTTTAGCAAAAATGAACCCCATCCTGTGTCGCCGAACATGGACCGACTACACCTGCACACAAACCGTTTTGAACAAAGTGCACCACGCGCCTGAAAAACCCTTAGTTGTTGTGTTATGTTGCATGCACTCACTCCAAATCCTCTGTGCGAACTGCTTTTTTTTCATGGTTTTATTCACTTGGTCGTGTTCAGTTAGAAAGAGCATCGCCAGAAAGAGCAGAAAGAGCACATATTTTACAGGGCGAAATTAAGAAATAAATGAAGCACCTCAGACCAAGACTCCAAGCTCTTCACGATTGAAGTAAAAGCTGAATGTGGTGCGACGTCGCTGCTGTTATTGCTGGCCACCTTGTATGGAGAATTCGTCCTCGACATGTTATTAATGACGTTCATCTAAACCCAGGTCAACTTTCGCATCAACGGCATGCCCGATATCCTCTCAAAGCATTTTTGGCGAAGTGATGCCCAGAGATCAATTCAACCAAATCATAAGGTCACTTCACTTTGAAGACCAATTATTGACACCAGGAGAGGACATTCGCATTGCCGGGGCCTTCCACTTCCCAAGCGGCTTTCATTCCGCCAACACATTCCTAATACAGAATCAGACTTTTCAAACTCTATCCAACTCTAGGCTGTATCCACGGGAATCCTATCCACAGGATAGGATTTAAGCTCACATGGCTAAGAAAGAGCTCTGAATCGACAGTGTGGTTGAGGGAGCTGTCATCATATTGGCAGAGGACCTCCATTACCCATGAAGTATCTTTATGCAGGCAAGTGGTACTCAAGTGTACCGTTGGCCAAGAAGTTACTCGACAAGTCCACGAGTCTTTAAGTGATTGTGAGGCGCAACAGGAAAGGGAACGTGCCTAATGTCGGGTCGGTGTCGCTAAAAAAGAAATAGATTTTCGATATGTGGAATAAAAAAGTCAGTGGAATCAAAAGTAGAGGTGAGAGAGACGTCACCTCCATTCACGCAAGCACGATGCTCCAAGAAATGGTGCAGGTAAACCTGACGTATTTATCTGGTAGACCAAGTAGTCTGGCAAATCGCAGCGGATAAAAACTCGAGCTGTCCTACCAGACGGCAAGGTACTTTCAGGGACAAACGAGTGGTTTTGAAGGTTTTCCTGTACCTTGTCTGCCAATGCACGTGACGAGCGCTTGGATTCTTATGAAGCAGCACACGAAGTGCAAGTCGCCCATCATCAAGTATGGGGAGGACATCGTGCGAGATATTTCATAGCGAAATCTGCCTAAACGCAGGAACCATTTACCTTACCATACACCACAACCATTTTTTTCCAGGTTTGAGATGAGCTCAACACATTTTAGCAAGAAAAAACCTAGTGTTTCGCAACTCGCTTTTCTATTTCTGTATACTACTCCGACGAGAGCTATGATTGTTCAGAGAACGAGTCTCTCACGGAATTTATGTAAAAGAATGCGCGAGATGGTGCGCTCCAGTGCAACCGCAAATCGAGCGCGGAATCCGATCGCAGATTCTTCTTCGTCATGTTGATATGCAAAAATAATTGGTTCCAGCCATCCCAAACCTATAAAAATAGTTCTCAGTAGTGAAAGGGCTAACCCTTCCACTGGGTTGGCCAACATATATGTCCCCTTCTCCAGAGCTCCATCTCTTACGCAGCTATTAAGAAGGAACAATAATCCTCTTGCATGTCTAAAATTGGTGAGGGAGGGGGGGGGTTATGCTCTCGTAGGTCTCACGTCACTTTCGCTTTACTCTTTATTACTTTGTTTTACTACTTTACACTTTCGCTTTACTCGTGAAAGTAAATAGAGGACCGTATTAGCGAAGAGCTTCCAGGAAAAGAAGCTAAAGAGGCTCACCGCATAATAGACTCCTGACCGTTTAAAGATTTTACATTCTAAGCATGCCTTGATTAGAGTCATGATGTGCGCTTTATCTAATCCAAAGGTCTCCATGCTTCCAACATGCCTGTCCAACATTTCAGACAAAGCCTGTAGAGCTTGTTCGTTTTGGACGTTAGTATAAAGCGAAGTGACGTCGAATGACTCCACTACGCAATTGGATGTTAACCGCAAATTGCGTAACTGTTCAAGGAACTTAGTCGTGTTGGTCAGGTGAGAGGGAACTCTGGTCAACAACTTGCCCACGATGCAATTGAGAAACCATGAGATTCGATCGGTTGGTCCACCGACGCACCGTCCTATTATTATGATAGGTCGAATCTTGAAAGTTTCCGGTGACGTTGACAGCATCTCACTAGGAGCAAGTTTGTGGGTCTTTACAAGGCTGTAAAAGACAGGGCAATCCGGACTGTCGAGTCTGAGTCTACTGAGAAACTTCTCGTTGAGTCCCGCAGATTGTCCCTGCTGCATCCAAACACTATTGAGACGTCTGCATTCTCTCTGTCGCTTCACGATCCACTGATGAACCGTAAGAATATCGTAAGCGATAGCGAGAGAGAGAGTGTGTGTGAGAGAGAATTTCACTCTCAATGCAGACGTCTCAATAGTGTTTGGATGCAGCAAGGACAATCTGCGGGACTCAACGAGAAGTTTCTCAGTAGACTCAGACTCGACAGTCCGGATTGCCCTGTCTTTTACAGCCTTGTAAAGACCCACAAACTTGCTCCTAGTGAGATGCTGTCAACGTCACCGGAAACTTTCAAGATTCGCTCCTATATAATAATAGGACGGTGCGTTGGTGGACCAAGATAGAATCTCATGGTTTCTCAATTGCATCGTGGGCAAGTTGTTGACCAGAGTTCCCTCTCACCTGACCAACACGACTAAGTTCCTTGAACAGTTACGCAATTTGCGGTTGAACATCCAATTGCGTAGTGGAGTCATTCGACGTCACTTCGCTTTATACTAACGTCCAAAACGAACAAGCTCTACAGGCTTTGTCTGAAATGTTGGACAGGCATGTTGGAAGCATGGAGACCTTTGGATTAGATAAAGCACACATCATGACTCTAATCAAAGCTCAAACGAGAGGTCTCGCGATGGGTCAACGCTTAGCACCAGTACTTGCAGTCTGCTTCATGAGCAGAATAGAAGAGCCAGTACTGGAACGATTACCCTTAATGTACTGCAGGTACATCGATGACTGCTTTATCGTAACATCAACACAATCCGAAATGGATGAGTGTTATCGTTTGATGAATCCAGCAGTCGCAGTACATTAAGCTCACGCGAGAGATTCCCCGCAATGGTTGGCTGCCTTACTTGAATACGCAGGTGAAAGTTTCCGATGGCATGCTCAGTGTGAAGTGGTAGTGAAAAGC